AATGATTAAATCTTTATTAATATTTTTCAAGATGATAAGTTTTTATATTAGGGTTTGATGTATAGTTTTTTTTTATTATTTAGTCTTAATTGAAACCTGACACATATGTTTTAGATAGATATTAAAATAGAATTTGTTTACAAAATCTAAGTTTGATTAGTTTATTTAATTTATTTATCAAAATTTGGTTATTTTTCATATATGAATTTATTATGCATATGAATTAACAGATATATGCATGCATTTAGATATATAATTATAGAGTATAATTTGAATATAAAAAAATACAAATATAAGTAATATCATATTTACAATAACTAATAATAATTAAAATATGAATTTTAAACTCAAAAATTAGTAATCCAATATAAATTAATTTATTTATTTATCTGATATTTAATGTTTTTGATAATTTATTATATAATGCTTTGTAACTTCTATTTGATTGTCTAATACAAGTCAATGGTCTAGTATAATCAGATAATAAAAAGTTAATTTCTAATCAGTCAGATTTTTATATAACTAATTAGAAAAGTAAATCAGATCAAAAAAAATATAAGAATGTGATGATCTAGTAAAGTAATCAGGTTGTCAACTCTTCAAATGGTAGGTTGAGTGCTCAAATCCTATTGATAACAAAAATTTGGATAATCACTTATATAATATTTGTATTATGGCAACTGTTACTAATGATTAGATAAGAATACCTGTAATAGTGATTGCACCAGCATGACTGACAGGTTATGGGGTATCTGTGAAATGTTGAAGTTATACAAAGGAATGCAAACTAACAAATTGGGTGGTGCAAACACTAAATAAGTCCTTGTGGCTATGTAAATTTATTAAAATTGGATAACAAGAAGTTTATTTAGGAAGACCCAAGTAGAGAGATAGCTGGATCTTTGATGACCCTACTGTAAAAGCCAGCCTAAAAAAATAGATACCAAGATCTAGTATCCAGTCATAGTAGCCAGATAGGCAAGAACCTCCAGATTGGGAGTCTTAGGAGTATCACCAACCAGGCTACCAGAATAAATTAGAGAAAAAGGATATCGGGCTGACCTGACATACTAATAGACTAATCATAGTTCTATATGAGCTATCTAAATTGCGAGTTTGATAAAAAGATAGGAGAAAAGGCAGAGGTATACTAAAGTATTAGGATTATGTTGTGAAGTAGATGCTAGGATCTAAATGAACTCTACAAAGACATAGTGGTTTAATGGTTAGCCTTGACTACAAGTGTTTGTTCTGTTATAGTAATATCTAGATCAACTATAAAAATGGGTACAGAAGGTTCTGGAAGGTTTATCTTGAAGATAAATTAGTTCTAAGTTTGAAACAATAATCTGGACATCTGGGTATAACCCAGTAAGTTAACACAGGTTATAGGTTCAAAAGGTTTAAAATAGAACACCCAAGCAGGGATGTTAGATACAGCAATTGGTAAAAAACCTTTGAACAGACTCCTTAAATAGGTAATATAGAAAAGTTATATGTATAACCAATTGTATACTCTTCTGTAGTGGTTTATTGAACCACAATACCAATAAGTGATTAATAAAAGTCAAAAGACCAAAGAGGCCACCTTAATACCAAAAAAATATATATATATCAAAAAAAACATGTTAGATTTGTCAAATAGTTTGCTTAAAAATGATTAGGTTTTACTAGTAAAAAAATTTTAAGTTGTTTTAGTCAAATATATTAGTATAAGTTAGTAATTATGAGTTAAGGTAATTTGTATAACAATAATTGTATTTTTAATAAAGGCTTCTATTTATTATTAACAAGTAGTTTTATATATAGTTATGTATTAAGTATATTATGTATTGATTGCCAAGAAAAGATTGTTCTTTCCAAAGAACCTTTTTAACTTTGAATTATAATTAAAATCTTCTATTTACATTATGTGATGGATACAACAAATATCACTGATGCTACTAATATGTTATATCCTACTAATATTTTCCTTTTACTCGATCACTGCAATTCACCAAATTTACCACATGCATCACATATAACTAATCAGTCACATGTAATGAATGCAATGATTGCATTAATAGTAGCTCACTTACAAGATTTTTTCCGGTACGTGATTTTTAGCCAATTATATCAAAGAATCAGGTGTAACATAAAATCAAAACAATCGAATTAAGCAAAAGATTTTAAAGTAAGAAGCATCATTATAAAGTTAGAATAGGGAATAAGGAAGGACATAGCTTATACTAAAATTTCACGAGAATTTTTTTTATTAGAATGCAGAAGGCAGTTTCATAGGTAAAATTTCAGTTAATAGTGATTTTTTAAAAAGACGTTATTTTCACATTACACCTGATCCTTCAATTTAATTGGCTAGAATTATGTACTGGAAAAAATCTTGTAGGTGGTTAACGAATGCAATCGACTCCTTTCCTAATTAAACAATAACCTACTCTGAATAGCCAAGGTCTATTCAGATCCCACACGGTGACACAGTCATAATGGCGAGAAGGGATGTTACAGTCTGACAAGGACTACAGTCTGGATCGGTCTTTTGAACCGAGTTAAGTAGTCTTCAGTCTATAATTAAGAACTGGGTCTGGACTGGTTCTTAAAAAATTTATACAGCAATATTTAAATTTATACTCTTAAATCGTATAATTATAAAGCATATGATCAGATGTACTACAATTTTATACTAACAGTGCAAACTTAAATTTGTTCCAAATTTAATAAATAGAACATTTGAAATAAATAGTAAAATTGGTTAAGATTAAACTATATAGTAAAAAAATTTATAAGTTTAAATGTAAACAAAATACTTAAGATAAAATTGCAAATGGCTTTTTTCAGCTAAGTTGTATATGTTTTATTCAAACCAGATATGACTCATGTATAAATGCATAAAAGTTCTAAGCAGAATTCTATTCTCAATACCAAACTTTTACAATGTATGCTTAGAGAACAATATGAAAAAAAATGCATTCATGAATATATTGAGATGCATTTGTAGAAGTTTTACTATAGTATCTTGAGATTTAATAGTTGATTAACAAAAACTGTACTTAGAGATAGCTGATGTGCATTCAATACAGATGCATTCATGCACATGATCCTAACAAATACATATTTTCCCATTGATAATACCAAATATGAAAACCTAGCATATCATGAATATAATTCCGCATATATGTTGGGTAGTATATCAATATTTAGCTCGGTGAATCATGTGTACGAATGCACACCACACGAATTCGTAATACCCTTTCAAAAAGTACATATTTAGCTTATCTCTAAGTACTAAAAGGGAACAAATTCGATGAAAATATAACAGTGTAAGTAAAAACTTACTACAATAAACATATATGAGGAAAAATCTAAAGGAATTTAGAACAAAGTTTAGTTACAATTAATTTTTAACAAGGAATTCTTGAATATAGAGAAACCTCCATAAGTGCATTCTTAAATTCTGGCCTAATATACTTGACCTCTATAAATGCATTTCTTTTATTATTCTCTAAATGCATGTTGTTAAAAGTTTAATCTCTATAGGATGCATTTAGAAAGGTTTTTTTGTAAAAAATTTTTTTGGTCTTTTTTAATGTATATCGGATTCTGAGAATTGACTTTCACTAATGGAACATACCTGAATCATGCATAGATAGACATTGTTTTGTAATCAAAAAAACTGAATGGAAAAGTAACCAATAAGTACTTCATAGATAATATTTAAAATCAAAAAAAAATAAAAATAAAACAAAGAAAAAAATACTTATCGTAATAAGATCAAAACCACCTGTAACAATAGGTTTTGTATATCTTGCTTCAATATATAAAGCATTATTTTTTAATTATAAAAAAAGAAAAAAAAAACTCCTCTAAAAAAAAACAAAAAAAATGACAGATAATAATTTCTTTAAAAATCGCAATGATTTTTTTAATTCTGAAAACATTTCTGAAAATGATACCAATAAAATGCTCGAAGATAATACCTCAGACATTAATAGTTAAATGTTATATGAAACTAATATTACCAGTAGTCCAATTAGTTCATCCCAAAGTAGCAATAAAAAAAGGAATAAAAAAAGTCCAGTTTGGCTTTATTTTAAATTCGATTCACTCACACATCCTAGAAAACCTGTGTGTAAAAAATGCAATGATGTTTTTTCAACTAATATCGGGGTTTCAACTTTATGAAGACATCTTAGTAGACATAATATTATTGTATCAGCTAGACGTCAAACTATTTTCTGCTTTCCCAGAACTGATCCGCATAATGATGAAGATCAAGAAAAACGAGATAAAAAATTAATTACCTAAATCATAGTTGATCAACAACTGTTTACTATTGTTGATAATCAATATTTTCAGGAGTTTATTACCTTAATTGATCCTCAGTATACGATACCTATAATACAGGCTGTAAAAACAAAAATCATGGATGAATTTGAAAATAAACAGAATAGAATAATTAATGATATTTCTAAAATTCCTGGAAAGGTTTTTTTAACAGCTGATATGTGAACATCTTTAAATATTGAAGCATTTCTTGGTGTCACAATTCATTATGTTGATACTAATTGGAAATTGCACCATTTTCTTCTAGATATTATTCTATTTAATAATAAACATACGGGCATCAATATATCAGATATTATTAACAATCTTCTTGCTCATTTTAATATTATAGATAAAACACTAGCACTTACTATGAATAATGAGGCTGTCATGATTGTTTATAGAAGATTAATCGTGCAAGAACTCCAGAATGAATTTGATAATATCAGATTTTTACACTATAGGTGTGCTGCTCATGTTCTTAACTTGGCTGTGAAAAAAGGATTAGAAATAGTTGATTCTTCAGTAAATAAAGTTCAGAATTTAATGACTAAAATCAAAATCCCATTCATCTTTGTGATGATCTACATAGACTGTGTGAACTTAAAGGAATTCTATACCTTAAGCCTGAATTGGATATCGAAACCAGGTGGAACAGTACCTTTTATATGTTGCAAAAAATGCAAAAAATAGAAACAGCTCTTAATCTATTTGTTGCAGACCATTCATCTATTCATTTATTATATCTAACTGATAATGAACAAAGCAAATTAGAAGTATAAATTATTATTATTGGAAGTGTTAATGCAATGCCATAGCTTGTTATAATTATAATGAATTATAGCAAAAAATTGCTCTAACTCATTATAATTATGACAAGTTACAGCATTGTGTTCACACCTCTAATTATTATACAGATTTTTGTACACCTAATAAATATAATTAAAAATATATAATAAACTGATATAATAAATCAATTTAATTTTAGGATGTACTTGCCTTACTAGAACCACTTGAAGCTGCCACGAAATTGCTTTTGGCTACATCATATCCAACCATGGGTGATATACGTTTGGTGTTCTTAAGTATTCATGACTATTTAAATATATATATCGAACAAGATAAATTTTCTCAAAATAGAGTTGCAGCATCAATGAACAAAAAAATAAAGAATATTGAAGCATAATGGATAAATCTTCTATCATTTCTACAGTCCTTGATCCTTGTACTAAATTAAAAATATTTGATATAGCAGATGCTGTTAATGCTAAGAAAGCTATTCAAGAAGCTATAAATCAATACGTTCATGGAGATAGACATACTTTACTAACCTCTGACGATGCTTTTGAAAGTTTGATCAAAACTGCAAGAAAATTTTTTTGGAACCTGCACAATCAATCAGAAATAGAAGAACCTAATTATACAGTTGAAAATACTTCGAGACAAGAATTATCAGCTATGGATACCAATGAATTGGACAATTATCTTACATTTGATACTGTTGAAGAAGATACTGACCCACTGGATTGGTGGAAAACGAATTAGAAAACTTATCCAATTCTATCAAAAATGTCATCTGATTACCTCAGCATCCAAGCTACCAGCATTGCATGCGAACAAGCCTTTTCGATAGCTGGCAATACTATTTCAAGAACTTGTAACCACCTTCATCCTGAAACAGCAAGAGCATGTCTGTGTGTAAAAAGCTGGATTAGTAATAGAGTAGGCGAAAATTGAAAAAAAAAACATTTCCTGTAGTTATATTTATATGTTTCCTATCTTGCTTATGAAATATATATGTATATTAATATATAAAATATTATAAAAATGACTTTAAATCTGTAAAATTCATCCAAACCATTTATTGATCCTATAGATGTGCCATTTATATGATATCTGAATTTTTTTCGCGTACAGTATGTACAGTACGTACAGTACGTATAGTTGTATAGTGTGTATAGCATATGTAATACACATAATAGATGTAGCATTTATAAATCAGATATATGCAACTTTGTGCAAGGAATAATTTTTGTTAGAATGCGAAAGACAATTTCATAATTAAAAATTTGAGATAGGGATACTTTAATGATTTGTTCTAGAATGTTCTAAATTTTTTTTTGCGTACTGTACTGTACGCGGCACATCACTAATTGATCCGGCTTGAAACTTTTTAGTTATTTATGTAAAGTTGTGAAAGTTGTGACCAGCAAATCGTATTCTAAAAATTGTATTCTAAAAGTTAACAGTGGTACGTAGAATAAAAGTTTTCTTAGCTAGCGCTAGTTTTGTTAAAAGATATCTATGCATTACCGTTACAGCATTGCTGCGTTAGCATTAGTTTTGTTGAAAATTCTGAATTTCTATTGGCTGAAATAAACCGGTCCAAAAACTGGTCTTGGACCGGACTGCTTAACGGACCAGTTTATTAACCACGGTCCAGTCCGCGGTCCGCTACTTGGACCGGTCTTTTGGACCAGGACCGGACCGGACCGGACCGTAACATCCCTAACGGTGAGTCAGTCGCTTGACAAACGGATACGTTGTGTAACCTACGAACAGCTTAGTCGATAAGAGGCGGTTAGATTTGAAGAGTGGTGTATTTATGTTCGTAGGTATTATAATGCAGTGAAGACAAGTAATTATTTAGGGACAGGTCTTATGATAAGCACTAACTGAACTGTCCTTGTAGGGCGCGAA